ATAGATAGATAGTTGGATTCTTTATATAGATAGATAGATAGATAGATAGATAGATAGACAGACAGACAGACAGACAGACAGACAGACATTTAGGTCTTCTTTACATATTATGTATTTTGGATGCAGAGTCTTCTCTTAATTTTGCTGATACTTTTTCTCATCTGTCACTTGTCTTTTGTGGTACCTCTTGGAAGTTTTAAATTTTAATGTAATCAACTTTATCAGATATTTATAATTTTATCTTAACAATATACTCCTTTCACCAAATCTGCAAACATTTTATTTTTCCTAATATTTATATACTTAAATTTTTTAGAAAACTTTTTTGTTAAGGATAACATGGAAAAAGATAAGTAACTCTTCAGGATAATGGGTGAGTGACTTCCAAAAAGAGGGCCTCCCAATGGCCAGTAAACATATGAAAAGTTGTCCCACTTCATTAGTAAACAGGGAAATGCAAATTAAAAGCACAACGTGATCTCACTGTGTACCCACCGGAATGGTAGGGTGATACTAAGTGATGGTAGGACATGGAATAGTGAAAACACTGATTTACTGTTGGTGAAGGTGTAAATGGACACAGCTGCTGGGGAAACTGGCAGTGTCTGTTAAAGCAGAAGATATGCATTGCCTACGCCATAGCAGTTCCATGCCTGTCTCCATCTCTTTCTGCCTCTTGCTATATATAAGAAATGTATAAATATTAACTAAAAGAAAGGTGTAAGAATGTTCATATCAACTCTGTAGTAACCAAAACCTGGAAACAACCCAAATGTTCATCACAGTCAAATGGATGACTAAATCATGATGTGTTCAGACCATGGAATACTATACAGTACAGACGAGGAATGAACTTCTGCTATACACCAGTACTGCAAGGGTGATTTTCACAAACAAGGTTGAGTGAAAGAAACTGCATAGCAAATTACCACAAACTTAGAGGCTTAAAACAATATCCATTATCTCCTAGCTGTATAGGTCAGAAATCCAGATGGGCTTGGCTGGGTCCTCTGTTCAGGGTCCCACAAAGCCAGAATTAAATTGTCAACAGGGCTGTACTCCTTACTAGCAGCTCTGGGGGACAATTAGATTTCAGCCTTATTCACGTTGTTGGCAAAATCCGGTTCTCTGTGATTGAGGTCCCTGTTTCCTTGCTGCCTGTTGTCCAGGAGTCAGTCTCAGCTTCTAGAGGCCACTTGCAATCCTTGGCTTGTGGTCCTTTCTATTTTCAAAGCAGTGATATGACTAGTCTTTCTTACACTTCAGATCTTTCAAACTTCTCATTCTGCTTCCAGCCAGAAAAAGTTCTCTGCTCTTAAGTGCTCATATAACTAAATTAGGCCTACCTAGGCAGTCTGTATATTAAGTTCAACTCTGACAAATGATGTAAATATCTCATCAGAGTCACAGATTCCAGAGATTAGAATGGGACAGCTGTTATGGGAGCCATAATTCTTGCCTACTATAGAAGTCAGTCACAAAAGAGCGCATATACTGTGTCATTCTGTTTATGTAAAGTTGTAATGCAGGCAAAACTATGCTCTAAGTGAGGATAATGGTTACCTTTGGGGTGGGGGTGCTGGTGGTAACTGGAAGCGTTCACAAGGAAGCTTTGGGGTGTTGGTGATAACCTGTCCTTGATCTCGATGCTGGTTCCATGAATGTGTTAAGTTTGTGAAAATACATCAAACTATATATTTATGATATGAATACTTTTCTATATGTATATAATGTTAAATATAAACAAAAAAACCAGAAAACTGCATAAAGCAAAGTGAACGAATGTACTGCATAAAGTAAGTGAACGAATCTGTTATCAGTCAGGGTTCAACCAGAGAAATAGAACCAGTAGGATATAGCTAGCCTGCATAAACTTGTGTACAAAGGTGCAGGTTACTATGTGTGTACCTCATGAAATCATACTGTTACCTCCAATTCAAATTCAGGACAATAGAGTTTTCACTGTAGTTGTTCCTCTGTTTTTTTTTTTTTTTTGAGACGGAGTCTTGTTCTGTCGCCCAGGCTGGAGCGCAGTGACACGATCTCAGCCTGCCAAGTGCTGGGATTACAGGTGTAAGCCACCGCGCCCGGGCCCCCTGTTTCTTCTATATCAAGAATCCTGGTTTTCAGAAATACCAAGGGTGATAGAATTGAACTAGACAACATTACTATTCACACACAAAGCATTCTTAGAATAACACCACCCAACACTGTTACTACTGACAGTTTTGCTTATGTTCTTCCTGTCCTTACCCATTCTTTATAAGGTTGTTCCCATATTGTTGGAGCACAGAGCCATTACATACCGTTTGCTGTCTCTCGTGTCTTTCATTTATCTTTGTTCTTCGTGTAAATATTGAATGCACATCATAGTCTTTATGTTGATGTCCCCCCAGTCATTTTGATTGTATGTTACTCATTCGTCTGATAAGTAGATTGCCTTAAGATTTATGGGAATGATATTCCCTGAGTTATCTCATGTTGCTGACAACTTGTCTGTGGCCTTTGTACTTGAGATTCAGTTTTGCTGGATATAATATCTTAAACTCACATTTTATTTCCTTCAGCATCTTATACAGTGCTCTGTTTTCTTTTATTGTAAAGCATCACTGTCAAAAAGTGTAATGGCAAACTGATTTCTTTCCGAGTGATGTGTTCTTTTTGCCTGGATGCTCAAAGACTTTTGGGTCAATTTCCCCAAGGTATACAGTGTACCCTTTCATTTCATTTTGTGTGTCATTTCACCCAGTGTGTGTGTGTGCGTGTGTGTGTGTGTGTGTGTGTAGTATGTGCATGTGTCACATTTCAGGAACATTTTATTGAAATGAAGGATTTAGAAATTTTTGTGTCCCCTGCTTTGGTTTTTTTCTTTGTGGATTCTTATTATATTTATGTTCAGTCTTTGCTTATGTTGAATATTTTTGTCCTATCTGAACTTTAATACAGTTTTCTAATTATGGATTGGATTATTCAGTCAATAAGTATTTATTTGGCATTTACTTTGTGCCATATACTTTCATGTTGTCCTGTTTAATCCTTACAACAATCCTTTGAGTAATTTTAAGATTGCATTTGTGAGATGAGGAAAGTGGTTTAGGAAATGCCCAGTGGTCAGTCAGGTGATGGGGGAGTTCAAAGCTGTAAAAGGTATGGCTTCCCAATTCCAGGGTACATGCATCCCTGAATATTGGCAGTAACACTAGATCTTCAGAATGACAGACACATTACCTTGCCTTAATCCCTAATATCTGTCAGAAGTAGTAGGAAGGGACAAGTAAAAGCTAACTATCTTTCTTACCTGGTCAAATATAGATGATAAAAAATGTCTTTGAAAAATTTTAAATTAATACCGTATCTGAAGCTCAGAATTTATTTAAATTGATACAAACTTAACACTGTTTAGTGTCACGATGGAGGTAGTAGAAAGATAGAATTTTGTATCTAAACATACTGGTTTCTTATCCTGATTCTCTCATTTTCTCACTAGCTATGCCAGCCAAGGCAACCTGAGCTTTCATTTCTTTAACTGTGAAGAAGACAACTTTGGCCTCAGCAGGGTTGAGGATTAAATGATACAATGTATGTAAATATATTCTTTAACCAAGGGATCAGCAAACTTTCTGTAAAAGGTCAAATAGTAAATATTTTTGGTTTTGTAGATCACATGGTTTCTGTCTCAACCACTCAGTTTTGCCACTGTGGTATGAAAGCCTGAGAAGAGAATAGCTGGGCTCCAGTGAAACTTAACTTGCAACAAAAGGCAGCAGGCTAGATTTGACCTGAGGGCTGTAGTTTGCCCACACTTACTCTAACCTATAAAGCTCTGTGTAAATATTGAGTAATTGTCATGACTTTCTCTCTTCAGGCTAATGTAATGCTTGAATATGATATTGATGAAGCTCAGGCATTGTTGGAAAAGAATTTATCGACTGCCACAAAGAATCTTGATTCCCTTGAGGAAGACCTTGACTTTCTTCGAGATCAATTTACTACCACAGAAGTCAGTATCCTTTCTTAAAACAAAAAGCAAGGGAAAAAAAGGAGAAAGATTTTTTTAAAAAAACATTCTTTCGTGGGCAGAGGGAGAGCATTAGGAAAAATAGCTGATGCATGCTGGGCTTAATACCTAGGTGATGGATTGATAGGTGCAGCAAACCACACAGCACACGTTTACCTTTGTAACAAACCTGCACATCCTGCACATGTACCCTAGAACTAAAAAAAATTAGAATGCAAAAAACCTCCCACATTCTTTCTTACATTGCTTTAGTGGGAAGAATTTCCTTATTAGGCTAACATAAGGTTATAGATTTTATAAGATAATAAATAAGATATTTGGAACTAGTACTTAAATAAGTTTGTAGATAGATTAGTGACTTTGAAATGTGATGTGGAAACAGCAAATTCACATAGGTGAATGAGTATTTTTCTTCCAAATATTTTCCCAAGACAACTTTGTAACTGGTTAAGTAGTTTAATTTCACAAGCATTTGTTGAGGGTCTCCTATGTTCCTGCAACTGTGTTAAGTCATATGGGGCATGAAAATCAATTTTAGAAAAGAGTGGCAGTGTCTTTCTCTGTTTGTTAGAACTGTACATGTAAAACAGCTGAATGATAATTCATAGCAAACTATAAGTAAGTTAACATATGCAACACCAAGGCAATTTAAACTTTGGGAAAGATAGATGTAGGCTGGAGTTAGTTCAAAGAAGGCTTTGTTGAGAAGATAAAAGTTAGGCTGCTTTTTTAAAGGCAGCATAGGATTTAAAGATCAGCAGAGAGAAGAGATGGGAGTGGGGTATTCTGGTCAAGAGGGAAGGCAAGCTCTTTGCCTTTCTTCTCTGGCCTGTCTTTTCCTCCTACTTCCTGTCACAGTCACCCAAGACAAAATCACGGGAGTCACCTTTCACACTTCTCTCTTCTTCGCTACCAATAACAAATCGATCACCAGATTCACATCAAATTTCCCTCATAAATCTCTCTGACCATTACTGTTCTCGTTCTGGGACTCCAAAACCTGCACTCAGTAGCTTTTTAGGTTCCTTTCATTCCATCTGTCCTGCCCACTATCTCTAGTATGAATTTACTAAGTCACTCATTTTTATTCCTCTGGTTACAATATTTCAACAGTTCCTTGTTACTTACAAGATATACATATAGGCACTCTTGTGAAGTGACCCCAGCCTGTCTCACCTCATGCCACTGACCTCTTCTTGACTTTCCCCAGTGCATTCCAGGTTCCAGATAACTCCAATCAGTTATTGTACACACTCCCCAAATGTGCCACACCCTTTGTATTTCTACCCTTTGTTCCTCCTAACTGGAATGGCTTTCACATATTTACAGGAGGTGCTCTTTTTTTACCCTTTTACTCTAAATATCTCAGTTCAAGCATCAGAGCATTCCTGAACATTTTCTGATCCTCAAAGTGTTTCTTGTGTGCTTGCTTAACACATACTGCTTAGTTTTTCCTTGCCAAACCATGAGCTCTTCAAATGTAGGAGCTGCACTTTCTCTTCTTTTCCAGTGTGCAGCATGTGGCAGGTGTTCATGGTTGGCTGAGGGAAGGCAGGCCTGTTGGGGCCTAGTGCACTGATCATCATCATCTGACGGGTAGTGTGGAAACTTCATCCAGCTGTGAGATGATGAGGGTCTAGGACGGTGGTGCTTGTGGAAAGGAAAAGATATTAAACGTTAGAGAAAAAACAGGATCCAGTGACTTAGATGGGTACAGGAGCCAAAAGAGAGGAAATCCTCTCAGATGAGTCCTACAAGTTTAGTTAAATGCCATTTGTTATTGTTAGTACTGCAAAAGGTAGGAAAGGAAGGTGTACAGACAAGTGAGGGAGCTAGGGCGAACAGTCTCTGTCATATTGACTATTCTACTGGAGTCTAAGCTCCATGAGGGAAAGGACTTCACCTGTCTTATTCAGGGCTTTGTACAGCACCTAGTCAGAAACACAGTAGATGCTTAACAAACTTATTAAGCCAAAGGGAGAGTAAGAGATAAAATTGTTGATAATTGTACTAATACAAATATTACATGGCAGGATATAGGTTGAGCAATCTTTGAAATTTCTTGGATGAGGGACTGTCTTTAAAACTATTGAGAGTGTCTAGTACATATTTGTTAAATATATCATAGTTGACTAGTTGACAGTTGACTAATACCGTAGTAAACAGTTGGTTAACAGTTGTTGATTTGAGTCCTTAGTTTTGATAGAGTTTAATTACAGTATTTTCCTAGCAATTGACGTTATAGCAGGATGTCTTAACAATACTATTTGTTACCAGTATTTGTGTATGTGTGATTTCTGTTTCTTTGATTCATTGTGCAAGTGGAGTGAATAGTCATTGCATGCATTATCTTTAGAACTGCATTTGCATTTTCTTTGACAATTCTTGCAGATATGGCCAGGGTTTATAATTGGGATGTAAAAAGAAGAAACAAGGATGATTCTACCAAGAATAAAGCATAATGCTGGCAATTAAAAATGTGGTTCAGTTTTCCAAACATGTTATCTTAAATACCCCTTTATCCTTACAGGTTGACATAACTTTGAATGTTTTAACAGCAAGAATTTTAAGAAAAGATAAACACCATTTTATTTATTTATAAAAACAAAATTAGTTTCAAATATTTTTGACATTGTGGTTTTTTTTTTTCACATTTCTCAGCAAAGCTAATGGTATTTTAATCATTATTTTTGCCTGTTATAAGAAAACTCTTAGCTGAAATGGCCGAAAACTGTGAGACATGCTATGGAAGCTGAATGTCGGACACTAGCACAGTTTGCTATTTCCCTTTCTAATTGGCTTATGTTACTCTCACTTGATGGTTAAACCGTTTTAGATGTAGAGAAGACAGACAGTTTGAATATTTGTAAACTTGTTTTTCTTTGGTGTGTTTAGGACTTAGTGGTCCTCTGTTGCTGTTGTCTTCTGTAAGTGGGGTTTCATGACTCACTGCTTAACAAATAACTATCTACTCTGATATTCTGGACATTTCAGGAAATGGTAATTTGCCTTGTTACACAGTAAGGGGGCTATTAAGACAACATTTTTTCTAACCTCAGATAAGTGCAGTGTCTTTGCAATGCCAACATAAGGGAGATCTTGGCCAACGTGAAATAAAATTACTAATTCAAAACTCTTCCTAAGGTGATTTTGTAGTTCTTAACAGTTCTCCAAAGCATCTTAAACAGGAATATTAAGATAAATGTAAATCTGCAATGGCTGAAAAGAGTTGTGAGCTTTTTTATTCAAAATAAAACAAAAAAAAAATAAAAAAAAAAAAAAAAAAAATCCCTGTGGAAAGCTCCTAGTACATTGGTCAGTGCTGGGTGATATAGATTCTGATAAAAACATAAATGTATTAGTTCATCTCCGTGTAGTAAAAAGTATACTTATACAATGTTTTGTACTTGTATTTCATGATATTAAAACAGTGATGCTAAAACTATGGCAGAGCACTTTTTTCATGTTACTCTTTGTCTAACTATGTTTGGGCTGCTATAACAGAATACCACAGACTGGGGAGCTTATAAACAGCAGAAATTTATCTCTCCCAGTTCTGGAGGCTGGGTAGTCAAAGATCAAGGTGCTGGCAGATTTGGTATCTGGTAAGGGCTGTGTCCTGGTTCATAAATGGCACCTTTTCACTATGCCCTCACGTGGCAGAAGAGGCAAGGAGCTCCCTTGGGCCTCTTTAATATGGCACTAATCTCATCGTGATGAGACTCACCTCCCAAAGGCCCCAGCTCCTAATACCATCACCTAGGGGGTTAAGATTTTAACATAACAATTTTGGGGTGACACGGAGATTCAGACAATACACCTTTTTAAAGTTATCATGGGTCTTTTCACATTTTTGTAAAGTTTACTTGTACATATACTAGCATGTTCCAATAACTTCTTATATTTCTAGAAACAACATAAAATCCCTTTGGAAGGAGTACAGATCTGCAAACAATTGAGAAGTTCATTGAAAATATAACAAAAGTTCCTTGATTGAATTTTTCTTTCATAATTTTAAATTCTCGTATTTTAGAATTTGAGGTTTGTAAGCATCTTGAGATATTGTGTGTGCTCATTTCCCCCAAACTTTATTATGGTAAGTATATATTGGTATGAAATGTTCCTGTTAATATTAGAACAGGAATGGTTTGCTCTGAAGATCTTCATTTTGTCTTTGAAAGTATGAATATGGATTTTTAGGTAATTACAAGGACTATGAAGAAACAAAACTCTTTTGAGATATGAATTACAGGCCAAAAATTAAGGTAATTATTTAACAGGTATTTAAAAACACCCATTATGTGTCAGGAACTGTGTTAGGCTCTGTTAATTAAATGAAAGATATTTAAATCTTACCTCTGCCAGATAATTTCTGTTAGAGTGGTTTACATTTTCAGAATAACATAACCATCCTGATTTGACATATTTTGAAGTTTAATATTAGTATAGCGTACTAGGAGAGGATATGGGCAAAAGATTGACTACAGAACTTGATGCTGAGAAATGTGTTGGAAATGCAACTTAAATTGAACTGTTTTTCATTATAAAATGGATGTTCATTTAAGAAAATTTAGAAAACTGGAAAAAAAGATGTTCTATTTGCAGTCCCCCCTTGACATTTCTATGTATTCTGTTTCTTTTTATGTGCATAGGTTTTCTGAAAACATAGCTGAAATGATTTTGTCTTTATTTAATCCTACTTTCTTAGCATGAAATTTGTGGGTTGTTTTTGAAACTTTTTCTCTATTGTAAGTAAAGAACTGAGCAGTTTATGTTTACATAAGACTTCTTCCTATATTTAAGGTTTTTCCTGAGACTAGATTACCAATGGAATTATGGAGTCAATGATCATAGCATTTCATTACCTGGGGTTAACTGAAAGTACTGTTTAGTTAGATAGAACTTGTTTGACATAGAGGCTGTGAGGCTGATGAGTTTTCGAACGGGTATGTTGCGAATTGAATGAAGCATTATTAACTAAGACCAACAGGCAAAAACTTAAGAAGTTGTTTTTGTTCTCACTTTAAAAGCCCAGAATCATAGGTGTTTGTTTGCAGGTTTTACAATTTAAAACACACAAGCCAAATTTGTGTTTTCTTTGTTCCAGCTGTTATTAATGTAACATTTTTCTAAATTCATGTTTTTCCCATACTTCAATTGTGCTTTCCTTCATCCCCTGCTCCCACTACCCATCCTCTTCCATATAAAGACACTGACATCTGTAGGGAGAAGCACCTTATTCAAGGCCATACAGCGGCTATGTGCACAGTCAGAATGAGAGCCACATTTCCTTGCTTCTGGGAAAATTTCCCCCTCTATACCATGATGCCTTGCTCCTTTACTTAGTGATAGCTAAGTTTGGGGAAAATGTTAAGTTCCATTTTTTAATGAATGAACGCTCTGCCTTTCTCTGTATATTTGCTATTCTCAGCCTTAAACTTCAGTGATGGCTTTAAAGATCTTAAACCATTTTTTAAAGGTTTGCCTTCATTGGTTCTAATCCCATACTCTTGTGATAGTCATGGCTATGACAATTTGGTGCTAATGTGGGATGGGGTTGCCTCTTAAGACACTCCTGAGTGCTAGGGCAGCACTCATCACAGCTGGTGTTGGGTTCAACTACACAAACTCCCATGACATGGAAGGGCCTCCTCTGTTACCAGTTTGCTCTGAAGGACATTGGGCAGGCAAGACAGCATGCCAGAGGATGGCTTTAGGCAGAGTTCTATGGGAATTATCTTGGCAGTCCCCACAGACTGCACAAAAGGACATAGGAGTCACCTTGACTTTAGAAGCCATAAGGGACCACCCTCTTTTTTAACAGTTCCCTGTGCATATAGCATCCTTGGGTTCTGGCTAGGGACAAGGCCCAGGAAGAAGTTGTACACTGCACTCTTGGAGCCCAAGCTGTGATTCCTAGCAGGTGTTTACATTCATTTGCAGCCTTCCTAGCTTGGACAGAGGATGCTTCGCTGAGCGTTTTACCAGAAGCAGTCTCTTGTCACACAGCTGGTGGTCTACCTTCATCAGGTTTCCAGGGGAACCAAGCTAGAAAGCTATCCAACGTCAGTGCCAAATCTCAAAGGAGAAAGGGATTTGAAACACCTCAGTCATAACCTGTTGAATCTTGCATAATCATGGCCCAGTTTTTGTCATTGGCCTGCTTCCCTTTTCAGTTCCTTTTGTAAGGCCTCTTAGCTAATAGCTGCGGAAAATGTAGTAATACTGTCTTTAGTAAATTTTAAGGGTCAGATGGAAACATTTCTGTCTGGGTTAGGTGAAAGACAGCCAGGCGGTCCAAGTAGTTAATCTCCAAAGTTCCTTAATAAATGGATCTGAAAACGTTTTTCTCAACTCAAAACCAAGTGATGTTATAAATTTAGTGAACCTATGAAGTTAATGCAGAGTGCAAGCTTTTAAGGCTTGTGGCCCAAACTAGGCAATAACTAAAATTTTCATTTTCACACTTTTTATTTTGAAATTTTGTAACTATGACCAGTGTCATCGTTAGGCCTGCTAATTAACCATATTTCCTATATATTAATACTCTTTTCTGTACTCAGGGAGAACTGCTTGTATGACCAGTTGTGAGAAGGTACCAGTTTGAGATTGGAAGTGTCCAAGGATGGAGAAGTTGATTCACGTATTAT